AAAAAAAAAAAAAGAATTGCCCTAAAATGAAAACTATTAAAAATTTAACATTAAAATTCACAATGAAGTACAGACACACTAGTTATTTCAAAACCTGAATAAAGGATCATATCAGTAACTATTTGCTGAACATACAAAATAGTAAAGGATATGCATAAACTAAACCCATTCTATTATTTGGGATTAAAGAGGTTATTTTTTATAATAATGAAACATAACGGGGTATATTTCACAATTTTACATAAAACACGCATAAGGAGTTTCAAATGATAATGTATTACTTATAGATGTCTGAATTCCTCTTTAGATACCACCTTATCATTCTTCCCTTCAGAGCGCATTCTCCCAAAAATATTGTCTAGCTCTGCACTGTCCAATATGGCAGCCACTAGCCACACTGGCTATTTAATTAACAATTAAAGATTCAGTTCCTGAGTTACATTAGCCGTATTTCAGGTGTTCAATAGCTACAAATGGTTAGTGGCTATTGTACTAGGCAGGTATTTCCATCATTACAGAAAATTCAATTACACAGCCTGGGCTGGATAAGGAAGACTTGAACCTGAACAGTGAATCTAGAAAAGGGAAGAAGTAGAATGTACCAATTTAGCATCTGTGATAAAAAACACTAAATAATAAATCCACAAGGGTTCCTGGGTGGCTCAGTCAGTTAAGCATCTGCCTTCAGCTCAGGTCATGATCTCAGGATCCTGAAATCGAGTCCCACATTGGGCTCCCCACTCAGCCTGGAGTCTGCTTCTCCCTCTCCTTCTGCATCCCTCCCCCCACCGCTCCTGCTCTCTCTCTCAAATAAAATCTTTTGAAAAAAATAATAAATCCTCAAATAAATAATACTGTGAGAAAAGGCAGTCGTCCAGATCGAATTTTAGTGGCTCTCGCAGGCATATTCCTTTTTTCAGGTCACTAAATGAGAAGCCTGGCTCTCGGGCCCACCTGAAGCAGTTCAATTTCCCAGTGGGTTCTTGCCAGGGTTTCTACAGCCAGTAGCAGCCTTATGCCAGCAGCAAGGCACTATCCCCATCTCATCTCCTATTCCAATCTGGGTTCTGGGCCCAGCACTCCATTGGCTCCATGACCTTTTGCCCTCCCTGTTGCTAAATCCAAAGAACACTCTGCAGCAGCGTTTTGCCACAGCTGATCATTTCTGTTCTGACTTTGGTGATAACCACTTCTATGAAACTCTCCTGTTTTGCCTCCTACTTGACTGGTGTTATTTCTCAGTCTCCAAAGGATATATAAATTTAGGAGGTATCCTAAAGCTTTTTCTCATTCTTTCTTCCTAGACTGTACCATATACTGTCTGTACAACAACAACTTCCAATTCCACCTTTAATCCAGGCTCTTCCTTTGAACTCCTAACTATGTGAATATCTCATAAGTGCTTCAAACTCATTATGTCTAAAACTGAATTCACTGTCTTCCCCCAATCCCCTTCTCCTTCAATGTTTCCCATTTCGGTACATGGTGACACCATCCACAAAGATGCTGAAATCAGACATCTAAAAGATGATTTTTTTTTTAAAGATTTTATTTATTTATTTGAGAGAGAGAGAGAATGAGCAGGGGGAAGGGCAGAGGGAGAAGCAGACTCCCTGCTGAGCATGGAACCAGCCGCCAGCTGTGGGGCTCGATCCCAGGACCCTGGGATCACAACCTGAGCTGAAGGCAGCCACTTTACCAACTGAGCCACCCAGGCGCCCCGGATGGTGGTATTTTTAACTTCAGCTATTAATCAATTACCAAGATCTTTCAATGCTACTTCCTGTATCTCTCATAAATCCATCCACTTTTCTCCATTTCCACTGTCACGACTACCCTAGTCCAAAATATCTCCTCTGGGACTAATGCAAGTCTCCGACCTGGCCCCTTCACCTACAGTACTAACCCATTTCCAGGGTGCTCTTTTATTTTTCCAATGCTTTTTTAATATAACTGAACTGTATTTATCCTAATATTTAAAAACAAAACTAAAACTAAAACCTAAACTCTTTCCCACGACCTGGAGGGAGGCCTTAAGTAACCCACCCCCTATCCACCTCTCTAGTCTCTCCTAAATGTTCTATGTTTGAGCTATACTTCTGCTTTTTCAGATCCTTAAATTGGCTGTCTCAGAGACTTGTACCAACTGTTTTCTCTTCCCACCTCTTTGACTAGCAGTGATTCCCCAGTGCTACCCTAACTACATCAAAATTATCCAGGAGCTTGCCTTTTTACAATTGAATCCTGATCCCTACCTAAGACTTACTGGCTCAAATTTCTAAGCGTGGAACCAAGAAATATATGACCATAAAAGCTCCCCCAGAGAACCCTCCTACACCATTGGTGGGAATGCAAGCTGGTGCAGCCACTCTGGAAAACAGTATGGAGGTTCCTCAAAAAGTTGAGAATAGAGCTACCCTACGACCCAGCAATTGCACTACTGGGTATTTACCCCAAAGATACAAATGTAGTGATCCAAAGGGGCACACGCACCCCAATGTTTATAGCAATGTCCACAATAGCCAAACTATAGAAAAAGCCAAGATGTCCATCAACAGATAAACAGATAAAGATATGGTATATATATACAATGGAATATTATGCAGCCATCAAAAAAATGATATTTTTGCCATTTGCAATGACATGGATGGAACTAGAGGGTATTATGCTGAGCGAAATAAATCAGTCAGAGAAAGACAGGTATCATATGATCTCAATGATATGAGGATTTTGAGAAACAAGACAAAGGATCATAGGGAAGGGAGGGAAAAATGAAACAAGACAAAACCAGAGAGGGAGACAAACCATAAGAGACCCTTAATCTCAGGAAACAAACTGAGGGTTGCTGGAGTGGTGGGGGGGGGAGGGATGGGGTGGCTGGGTGATGTACATTGGGGAGGGTATGTGCTATGGTGAGCACTGTGAATTGTGTCAGACTGATGAATCACAGACCTGTACCCCTGAAACAAATAATACATTATATGTTAATAAAAAAATTTTAAAAAAGAAAAAAAAAGCTCCCCCAGATATTCTGATGAGCAACAAGGTTTGGGAATCACCCCTAGTCAATTTTCAGGTCTCAGCTTCTAGTTTACTTCCTCAGAAATCCAATATACTAAATTTGGTCCCACTACTAACATTTTCATAGCAACCTGTGTATCTCCTTCACAGTATATATCATAATGTTACTGAAATATTTGTGAAATCATTTAATGTCTGGCTTCTCCCAAATTAATGTTTCACAATTTAACGTTTTACTTAGAATGTTTGGTCATGTAAGCTTTCCAGTAAGAGTCTTACATAAACTAAAAAACATATTATAGTAGTTATAGAATTTGCTAATAAATATTTTTAAATAAATATTAAATATTAAATAAATTAATTTTAAAGATCAGTTAAGTTTAACATCTAAAATACAGAACATCTCGATTTAAGAGCTTCGTTAGTGATACACTGGGGGAATCTCAGATGCTCTAAGTAACACTGTCCTAAGGAAGGTCATTCACTTATAAAACCAAAGATCCTAGTTATCATAAGCTTGACTCACCTTCTGCAGTTTTTTAAAGGAAGATGCCTTCATATTTTCAGACAATTTAACAGAAAAATACTATGTTATATTAAGGAAAAAGATCAAAGAAGGTAACCTTCTGAATTCATATGTAATTTTAAAAACAAAGTTATATGGGAATATTTAGGAAAGGTAAAAAATGAGTTTCCAAGAATAAAATGAAGTTTTTGTTTTTGAAACTTCTAATTCCACACTATTCCAGTGGCATCTTCATAATCAAAGCAAAGTACCTTAATCCTATAGCACTTATCCAAATGGCAATCATTTCTAAAACCTTCCAAAAAGGAAGTCACTCTTACAGGGTCTTTCTTTTCAATACGTGGAAATACATTCTCCTTGTTGGTCCAATCTTAGCAATACTCTGTCCAATTTAATGAAGCAGGAAGTCGAATTAAATCAAGACTTAGCTCCAGAAAAAGCAAATGGTAACCTTCCAATGAGATCACTGGGTCTTCTAATTAAAAAGGATACAAAATCTCTAAGTTGTCCAAATATTTCATCCACTTTACCAATTTGTTCTTTGTTCTCTAAATAAACTGGAGCATTGAAATAAGGCACCTTATTTTCATCTGTAGTACATTTGCAAACTATGTCATCTTCACAGGGATGCAGGAACTCTCCCAATACTGAAACAGGACAAGAAAATGTTAAAATATAAAACAATTTCAAATGATATTGACCAACAACATCTGGAAGCTTTCTTCTTGGGTACCTGGGATTTCACTTTATCTGTTCTCCTCTGAGGCAAAAAGAAAAAAAAAAAAAAAAAAAAAAGCCAAAATCTCCACACTAGCTATGTGACCTGGGGTAAGATTCTTATCTCTCTGCTTCAGTGTCCTCATCTTTAATAAGGGCTAATAACAGTGCCAACACCTAACATATAGTATTATGAGGAACAAACACAGTAATAAATGGCAAGTGCTTAGAAAAATGCCTGATACATTAATGCCAACCTATAACAGGTGTTTTATTAGAACAATAACTATTATTATTAAACACCATGCTTACATTCTACTGTCTCTTTTCATTTCCCCAGTCCCTATCTGTAAATTGGTCTTTGTTCTCCTTTTTTTCCTCCTTTTATAACCTCCCACTACCACCTCTTCACCAATGACTCTTCACCCTTTTTCAGGGAAATGTGGAATCTCAAAATAACTACCTTTATTTCTGACTGTCACCCCAACTAAAATACTCATTACATCCCTGCAAAACTAATTCTTTATCCCTATCACTCAGGCTCAAAGCCTGGTACCTTTTATTCCCAAGTATTAGCCAAGTTCTACTGACTTTGTTTCCACCGAAATCTCTCTCCCATCAAACCCTTCCTTCTTTTTTCTGATGTCCACCACCCTCACAGTGCATCATGCACAGACTGTTGCATGCTTGTGGGCTCCGACCTATGACTCTAGCCACTGCATTCTTCAAACCATGTTGCACACTGATCCAACCTCATCTTTATATCTCTTTATGTCTCTTCCTCCTTTCTCCTTTTTGATGTAGGTTTTTACTGTCAAATCTGTCTCACTTTCCTGACTTCTAACCACCTCACTGATAATTACTTCAAATCTACTCTAGTTAGGTCTTTTTCTTAGCTTTCCCTCTGTAGTTTCCCTTCCAAGCAGTTTTTTTTCCACACTTCTCTTACTCATGAATAGCAACTGACAACATGGGCTTTGAAGTCAGGAAACCTGGCTTTGTATCTCAAAATGATCACTTATTACTATGAGAAACCTAACTCTGAATCACTGTTTTCTTACCTGTAAATCGGGAACAACAGGAGTAAACACACAATATTACCTACTTAATAACTTCCTTTCAGCCCAAGCTCAATTTCCACTTCCATGACGCATTCTAAGTGTTCTTTTGCTTTCTTGATCTTCCCTTTACATTACAGCACTATTTTAAGTCAGTTTACAGCATCTTCAGACCTGACTCCCCAACCAAGCAGCGACTTCCGTATGACAGCTGCTAGAGTTTTCTTTCAGCAAGTAGTCCCCGAAATTAAACCCACAACCTCCGCCCCCAAGTAGGCTAAGCTTTGAAGCCGACATACAAACTACATGATCCGGGGGTCCTTGGTCCTGGCCTTTGTTAAAGCCTCCGCGGCCACCTCCTCGTCCAAATCCTCCTCTGCCGCCACCGCCGCCTCTGAAATTACCGCCTCCACCTCGGAAGTGGTTGTTGCTGCCGCCGCGACTGAAGCCGCCACCTCGATTAAAGCCCCCCCGACCTCCGCCTCGAAAAGACATGCTCAACTCTACCTGGTGAGAAAAACAGTGCGTACCTTTTGGTCATTGTGGCCTCTGGGTACACCACCTAACCCCTCTGAGCCAGGGACAGAACACCACACAGGGGGGCAATAATAAATACAGCACCCTTGCAACCTCACGCACGGCCAAGCCTCCAGAGACTAACCCGAAGGGTGAGGAGTGTCACCTCCCCAGAGCCCCGTGCGCGCTGACCGACCACTCACCAGCCTTGTCGCCCCCGGTACCTCCTCCCCCAGCAGGCAGCAAGGTCTTCACGCCGCATTCCCTTCTTTCCTCCCTCCCTCCCGCAGCTGGGTTTCGGGTCCAGCCATTCTCGTATCCTTCTGCTCCCTACCGCAACTCACCGGCGCCACGTGCACGTCCGGCGCGGCTGCGCACACCCACTCTCCCGGTACTTCCGCCGTACACGAGCCTCCTCGGCCACCGTACCCGCGCACGGTGAGGGCGGGGGGAACGACCAGAAACTCGACCGACTGGTTTACAAAAAAGCCAGTCACCGGCAAAACCCGGGGCGCTGTCGCCTTTCCAAAACAGCCTTCAGCGCTGGAAGAGCAGCAGTACTAACTTCAAACACTAGTTCACGACAGTCAGGTCAACTTGCCTAGTTCTCCATAGGAAATGACGTATAATAGTGGCGTCCTTTGAATCAAGAAGTTGCAGGAAGTGCCCCCGCGGTGTTGCCCTGGGAGATGGCTGGCGTTAGTGATCCGCCCCCTTTCCCGGAGGCCTGGCGGTTCGAGGTGGCTGGGGGCTGGCCGTGAGCCCTGGCTTTTCAGGCTGCAAAATGGTCTCCTCCTTCGTCAGTTCGTTGCCAGCCGCAGCAACTGTGCCGCCCACATCTCTGAGGAGTTTTCAGCTGCGCTCTACCCAGAGGTGGATCTGGTGGCGTCGCAACCCAGTGCAAGGGCTTCCTGCGTTCTTTTGAGCGCTAGTTTCTTCAGGACCTCTTAAAGTATGCACGATTGTGAGCTGAACTGTGCCTGTCCTTCTCTCCTATGGTTTCACCAGTTAAAGGAAGAAAAAAATGCGTGTATGTGTGTACGTTCCTTTAAAAATATTTTTTCTTTAAAAGTACCTTTTATGTGACAAAAAGCCAAATAATATTTTTATCTTTTGCACCAAATAGTTTATTCAATTTGTCAAGTGCTTTTTTTTTTTTTTTTTTTTACACGCTTTAGTTAAATAATCTCCACACCTAACGTGGGGTCCAACACACAACCGGGAGTTGAAGAGTGGCAGGCTCTTCTGAGTGAGCCAGCCAGGCGCCCCTGTCCAGTACGTTTTTAGCGTTGGCAGGCTCTGGACCATCTATGCTGCAAGCTCCTCTTCCCTTTTTTCTTTAAGCCCTTGATATCTAATTTCAGCTTCCAGTGAAATTTCTCTTCCAAAGAAAGCTAGTGATCTATTTGTTAAATTTGGTTGGTCTCTTTTACACCAGAATCTTTTTTTTTTTTTTAAGATTTTATTTATCTATTTGAGAGAGAGAGAGACAGCAAGAGAGGGAACGCGAGCAGGGGGAGTGGGAGAGGGAGAAGCAGGCTTCCCGTCGTCGAGCAGGGAGCCCGATGCGGGGCTTGATCCCAGGACCATGGGATCATGACCCTAGCCTAAGGCAGACGCTTAAGAACTGAGCCCCCCAGGCGCCCCTACACCAGAATCTTTTGAGACCTTACCTTGGTATTTGACGTAGTCGATGGCCTCTTCTTTGAAAGGGCAGAGATCAGTACCTACTTCGGAGGGCTGTTTTGATTCGGAAAGAACTTCGTAAACTTAACTATGAAATACTGGAAATCACAATATGTCTTCTACACCAATGTATAAGCTTCTTGAGAAGGCCCCTAACAATCCTACATATAAAAGGAACTTGATAAATGTATTTTTTTATTCAGATTTGGTAAATGTACTTTAAATTCTGTACATAGTATAGAAAATTACTCAAAACTGCCCTGCCCTATTTTGCTTTACTTTATTTAACTTTTATGTTCGGTGTTTGGCTCCATTTGGTGTCCACTGTTACCTCTAACTCACTGTGATGAAATCAATGAAGTTTTATAAGACCTTCAGGATTACTTGGTGCCCCTTTATTTTACTTATTGTCAGTGGGAACTAACATTCAGACAGGTGAAGTAACTTTGCCAGCCAGTTATGGGAACAAAGTAGAACCTTAGATTCTCAGAGCCTTCAGTCCTTCTGTGCCCACCCTCCATCTCTTACTCTTCCCAAATTGTACATCATTCCCCTTCCCTGTCATACTCTTGGTGTCTGAATCTTTGAACTCAGACTTTTGAGCACTCTCCTCTATCATTGTTATCACCATCCCCACCGTAGCCTTGATTGGTCTCTTTTCTCCAAAGCTATCAATTGCTATTAATTCCTTGGAAGATAGCTTTGTGTTGTCATTACAGGCCGCCTGTTGTCACTGCCACACTTCCTTGTGTTAATTCCTACCCTAAATCACTCAATCTACAAGAATTCAGAAGTCCAGAATAAATGCTTCCATGTTTAACTTTTCTTCCATCTGTATTGCATGTGATGACATACTGACCTAACTAAAAGAGTTTACTCATGCCATAGCCGTCCTCAAAACCTCAAATAGCTCCCCATTTCCTTTAGCAACAAGTCTAAAGTAAAATCTTTCCATTGGGTAGGTCCTCTATGTGATTAATTTTATTTCCTTCTTATGTTGTACACCATCCCACTTCTTAATCAGGCCAGCACTATTGCCTTGCTTCTCTTTCCATTGCCTTGCTTCTCTTTCTCCATTGTTGTCATATACTTCCTGCTTAGAAAAGTTTCATTTCCCATCTACCAGACCAGCCGTTTTCTCTCTTTTTTTATCCTGGAGGAACCCTTAAAATAATTTTCATGTGTTTGAAACCCCTGCATAAAAATGTTATAAGTGTGTGTGCGTGTATTTATATATATATATATAAATATGATCAAGTTGTAGACATAATGATCCAGTAATAATTGTCAATGCTTTTTTAAACTGTGGTAAAAGACACATAACAAACTTTACCATATTAATCATTTTTAAGTGTATAGTTCAGTGGTTTACACTATTGTGCAACTCGTTATTTTGAGTAGAGAATGGTGTTTTTCTGTGAATCTATTTCTTTGTCCAACTTATTAGCCTATTCTGTGTACGTTCCCCTCCTCATAAAGGATATCAATTATGATGCAAATTTTTAAAAAACTTTTATTAATTTATTTGACAGAGAGAGCACAAGCAGGGAGACCTGCAGAGGGAGAGGGAGAAGCAGGGTCCCCACTAAGCAGGGAGCCTGACATGGGACTCAACATGGGGCTGGGTCCCAGAACCCTGGGATCACAACCCCAGGGGAAGGCAGAAGGCAGCGTTCAACGGATTGAGCCACCCAGGCACCCCAGTTGTGATGCGAATTAAGTAGGAGAAGAAACTTCCATTTTTCCTTTAATAAAGATTGCAAATCGATTTTAATGAATGTTAATCTCTTTTTATAGGCCTATATTTGGAAGAAAGTGTTATTTTTGAAGTGAAAAAAACAGTGAAATTAACCTATTTACTAAGAAATCTTTTCTTGCCTTTTACTGTGTATATCCTCAATTCTGAGTCGATCTTGAAGCTGGCATACGTAGATTTCATTTTCAACTAAAATAAGATGATTTCTGTCTTTGCTCTTAATGTTCATTATTAGACAAGATAAAGCTTGCTCACACAAGTAAAAGGTTGAAAAGTACAGTAAAATATTTATTACTTTTCTATGAATGGTATAGGATGCTTTTCTTTTATAGAAATCCAGAACTTATAGAAGGGCAAATCAGTAAATTTCATCTTACATTTATAATCATTAATTCACAAAATTCTTCCTCTTCTATCAAAGTCAGGTGCTCAGACTGAGAAGATTCAGAGAACGGAGTCCTCATTCAGTCATACACTTGTGTTGTGGAGGGAAAATATTATTTAGTTTTGTTCTACAATTCTCCTAAGTGGTTTGGTCTCAACTTGAGACTTGAAATTTCCTCACTAAATGCAAGCAGCAGTGGAAGCTTCAAGATTTCTTTTTGCCATGTGATTTTTTCCAAAATTTTTATTTCCATTTAAAACCAAGACTCTTGTCACTTGAAATCAAAATATTTTCTCCACGCCCTTGAATATACTCAACTAATTCGACTAGTTCATGTGATGAAAAATGTCTACTAAGTAAGCTAGTTTCTGAAGCTCTTCTTGATCTTCAAAGCATTTGGCACAACCTAGCCTACTATTTTCTTGGAAGTATTACCACAGCTCACTTTTCAGCTCAAACATCCTGTTAAGAAACAAAATCTGTATTAGTTTCTCTTACTGTGTAACAAATCACCCCAACACTTAGTGGCTTAAAACAATAAATATCCTGCATAATTTCTGTAGGTCAGAAATTCAGGAGCAGCTCAGGTTGGTGGTTCTGGCTCAGAGTCTCTTATGGTCTCAGTCAAGATGTTTCCTGGGGTCGCTGTCACTTGGAGGCACAACTGGGGGTGGAGGATCAGTTTCTAACATGGCTCACTCGTGTGTCTAGCAAGCTAATGCTTTCTATTGCCACCACATGAACCTTTTACAGAGTACTTAAGTATTTTCATGACATGACAGCTGTCTTCCCCTACAACAAATGATATCCTAAGCCATAAGATATTATGCATGTAGCAGAAGATTTATGTGGTCTTTGTCCAGGTTTTCAGCTTCTTAAACATTGTTCAGTGAACTAGCCTTTGATAAGTTTAGGCATTTTTTTTTTCCTCTCTCTCTTTTAAGATTTATTTATTTTATGGGGTTCCTGTGTGGCTCAGTCGATTAAGTGTCTTCCTTCGGCTCAGGTCATGATCTCGGGGTCCTGGAATCAAACAACCCCCCCTCCCCACTCCCCCCCCATCAGGCTCCCTGCTCAGCGGAGAGTCTGCTTCTCCCTCTCCCTCTGCCCTTCCCCGCCCCCTCATGCACTCTCACTAAATTTGAGAGTGAGAGCAGGGGGGGCGGGGAGGGGCAGAGGGAGAATCTCCAGCAGACTCCTCCTGAGCAAGGAGCCGGACTGGGGGCTCGATCCCAGGACCCTGAGTTCATGACCTGAGCCGAAATCAAGAGTTGAACACTTAACTGACTGAGCCCCCCAGGCACTTCCAAGTTTAGGTATTTCTGTAGCATCGTCCCAAATTATTTTCATTTCAGCTCCAGAAGTTTCTGACACCAGCATATCTCTGGGAAGAAAGCAGTGTATTGTGAATATATCAGGATTTTCTTTTCTTTTTTTTTTTAAAGATTTTATTTATTTATTTGTCAGAGAGAGAGAGCATGCGAGAGAGCACAGGCAGAGGGAGAAGCAGGCTCCCTGCTGAGCAAGGAGCCCAATGCTGGGCTCCATCCCAGGACCCTGTGATCATGACCTGAGCCAAAGGCAGATGCTTAACTGACTGAGCCACCCAGGCATCCCAGGATTTTCTCTTTTGTAAGAATGAACACTCTTAGGGAGCAATGTTCAAATCAGTGGGGCATCATCAGTGCAGATGCCAATGCACTTCTTAAAGATGTACCTTTTGTTTTAAATATGAAGACAAAACAGTAAATGTATCTTGGCCTTTGCTTGTTTAGGG